TAGCATATTTAGTGATATTGATTAGAACAATACTAATGAAATAATGAATTCTGAATGACAACTTAAATATTGATGAAAAAATTTCAAATATTAAGCTCGTATCTATTTTGCTCAGCATAGAAAAATTAGACAATGGAAATTTATTTAGTTATTAATATTCTAATATATCTATGGATAACTATGCAATGAAAATTTAAATTAATTTCTGTATCACTGTCTAATAACTATTCAAATTGCTTATCCAAAGAAGTTAATAACTTCATTGCTAAAATTTGAAAACAGGATGGGAATTAATTTGGATGAAAAAAGGTCAATGTCACACTATTGAGGAGAATGTGGTTCAAGAACTACATACACAATTAAGATTCATATACTTTACAACAATTTATATGGTATCAAAACCTACAGAAACAATGTCACGTTCAAACCAATAACAAGAAGCATAGATGGGAGGAGAAGAGTACACAAAGAAAGAATTTCCAAAAAAAAAAACATGCTTCACTCTTGTAAAAGGAAATCCTCTCTTAAATTCTCTTCAATCTCCCACTTGTTCATGCATTACAATACAAAATTGGAGGAGGAAGAATCCCTGCCCTGTTGTAAATTTTATTCTTGCCATAAATTATCTCACATGGCTTAAAACTCCTACATTTGAAATAATATGCTAACAATGTACAAACAAACTGCTAACAAAAGCACAAACTAATTGGTAACAAACTCAATGATTTTGACTAAAATATTTCTAGTTAAATATTGACATCTAGAAAACTTAAAATAACTCAAATATTTCTGACAAAATACCACTGAGATTACTTGAATACAAAGTAGGATAAATATTGAGGCAGTTGGTCGGTATTAAGTCGTGAGTATGAATCAAGCAGGAAACAACATTTATGTACTGCAAGAAAAAGGTTTCTATTAGCTCTTACCCATATCTTTTATTGGTAGAAATCTTATTCACTGGATATGTCTTCTTTAGTGCATATGATATATCTCATGTAAGAGCATGTTTAATGATGTCGAATATTTTTATGTTAAGATATGACATTGGCAATAGATTGCCAATTTTAACTTTTTGCTACATAAATTGACTCTGTGCAGTAATCTATGACAACAAAGAATGATGCGAAATAATTTAAAGTTAGAGTTTTCAAATGGAACTAAAATAGTGGAAGGGAAATTAGGATTCACCGATAAAAAAATTACTAAACTAGCCATTTTGTTTTATTCAATTCTGAGAATCAGAAACCGAACAACGATTAATGATTGAATAAATGCAAAGAATTAAAAAAGAACTTTGAACTGCATCAAGTCAACATGCAATTTAATTTAATCTCCTCAAATAAATTTTTCATTGTGTTAAATTTGAACAAGTTCAGGAGTACTAGCAAACTAAAACAAAGTATATCAAAAATTTTGTCAAGGAAAAGAAGTTACTTGAGTAAGATATCCAGGGGTTTTGCTAGTTATCCGCAATTTGGTAATTGTAATAATACCACAATTGAAGGATTCACACATCTAACTTGTGCATGTAAGATTAAAAGCTAGCAAAACAATTTATTCAATCAAATTTGTCTCAGTTTATTCTTTTGGTTATTTATTTATAAATTCCTAATCCCGAAGTTAATATATATGATTGACACAATATTGACCCAATTCAAATTTAAATAAACTTAAACTTCAAAATTAATTTCATCCATAATTCTTATTCATGGAAATAAAGACAAAACACTCGAATATACTTGCTCCTTCTCAAGGAAAATGACAATGGATATAAGAGGAAGAAAAAAAGTCAGATACTCTTGGAGGTTGATATTTAAGATTTAATATAATCCCAATTCCCTCAACATGCTGGCCTTGCTAAGACAGAGTGGCAAGTGTGACTTCTATATATTAGAGTCGAACATGCTTCCTTGCCCCAATTCCAAGCACTAAAGTCTAACAAAGACAAATTTCTTCAGAGCACAATGCCAGTATAAGACATCAACCTTGAAAACAGAACTATTTTTTTATAAATCAGTATAAATCAATATAAACGTCAAGTTTACATTAACATGAAAAAAGTGAAGAAAAAAGCAAATTAAGAGAGTCGAATCTATAAATTTTTAAGTTGCTACATAATGGTGGGAACTAGCAAGTGACTAGTGCTCATCCTCAGTGCTCAACAAATCCTTTGCAGCTCGACTCAATGGAACCTTAGTGTCTAACATGGGTTGCTGTCATATCTGATATTGATTTGTCATCTGTTCTACCTATTGCACCCACCTGACTCTCTTATAAGGCATCAAGCTCATAAATTCTTTTTAGATGTTCTTTATCCTAGAAAAAAGGCTCTTAATCTCACTAGCAATGGTGGCTGATCTATGAAATTGTTATCTAATGGAACTCGATACTCTTATATTTTTCATTTGCCAAGTCCACAACTTCCATAATAATCTTGGCATGCTGGTAGAGATTAGACAGTGATGACTTCGCCAGAACGATATTCAACAACCTGATTTGCTGGGCCAATCCTCAATATATATCAAGTTATTGTCATCTAAGCCAAAATGAGCCAAGAAATTTGAAGTGGGGTTAACATTTACTATAAACAATCCATTGATTCAAGTGATCATAGATCCAACCTGGATATTAGATTCTATCAAATTATAATATCCTACATCCTTCTATGTCATGGCTTAGCAGTTGAAGAGCATATGCAATGAATCTTAGATTGATGTTCCACTAATTCAGGTGCTGTACAAAGCAAACAATTGTGTTATTATGTAAGTAAATACTATTAAAAAAAGAGGTGGAAATGCAGAAGTAAATTTCAGTTGAGTGTCCCAATATGGACTTAAAGGAGCATCCAATGTAGAAAGTTCGGCCAATTTGGTAATGTCAAAAACTTTTAGAGTATATACAAATGTATCTAAAACTCCTTTTACTCCAGATATCTTCCCTTGCAAAGAAGCAGAGAGAGGGTCCATGGGAAATGATGGCCTAGAGTAATAAAATCTGAGGCATGCATTTTTAGTGTATCTATTTCAAAATTCTCAAAAATGGCAAGCACAACATTGATAGACATTCTGGTTTTAAATGAAACTTCAGTAGAGGCCCTTGTGTCAGTGTAGGTATGGGCTCGTCGAACAAATTATGAAAGCTAGATGAGGCTCCACTTGATGAGGATGCCCATGTCTGTGATCTTGAAAAGCCTATCAATATAGCTAGTAGATGTTTCACTAGCCCAAACTCTAGTTGAGGGAGTCTCCTCTCCTGCCATAGCCTAATCATTATCTCTTATTATGTAATAAAATTCAAGAAAGCATTAAGCATGAATGAATTGAAAAAAGGAAGAAGATAAGGATGAAAAAAGGAAATAAATGATGATGATATCACTGCTACTATCTTTACTGATTCAAGGCTTCTGACCTTTATAGTAGTCACATTTAACACTCATATTTCTGAGCATCATTCTTCATGAAAGCTATAAAGGACAGTTAACAGTGCACACAAGTTAATTGAGTATAGTAACCTCTATGTAACTGTTTGGAAGAGCCGGACAAAACTAGACTTAGTGCTAGGTTTGAACATGTTATCCAACAATATAGCAATGGCATTCATTTTGATGTCTAGTGAGATCGAGCTTATTCGATTAACATTGTTCATACTAGAAACGAAGACAATCCATCATCTCAGTTGCTTTAGAAACTTCAAATTGTCGACTTACTCTATACAAGTAATATTTTTCCAAGATTATATATCGACCGAACTGAGAGCATAACTGCCCAAGTCACATACTAATAATATACTCAGCAATTTACAAGGATTGTCCTCTATAAAAAAAACTTATTCGGCCAAATAATTTGTTTCATCAACCATATCAATATCTATCATGCCAACTAGTCGATCACTTAAATATGATAGATACACTAAAGAAAATTGATATGCTGCAATAAACATAAAACCTCTCTTTTGGGCCAGTTTAGTGATAAGCACTAAATTATGGTTTGAATTAATGACAGAGAAACAACCTTCTCCATTTACTGGGTTATGGATCCTTTCACTCACACCATAAAAATAAATTTTCTTTAGCATAAAGTGACAATACCAAGCATAGAACGCTTGATAATGAAAAAAAAAGTTGTACATATAATAAATCTAGCCTAACTTGGTAGTCAATCCAAATCTTAGATAACACTTTATGTTCATATTGTAAGCATTATCATAAGCATGCTAAAAAAAATAATTAGAAAATAAAAGAATAAGACAGAGATGTCTAAAGTAAATATCATTGTATATTATTTGTGTTTCAGATGAATAAAGACTTTTAAATTCGTGTAACTAATAGTAATCTTTGTGACTTGTGTTCATATCATCCTAATCTTGGTTCTATATTATTATTGTTCATGCATGCTACTCCTAGCCTCTAGATAAAATTGTCAATCATCCTTGTCCCTTTAAATATCACGCTTCCACTAAATTTTCAACAATAAATAAAAAGTAAATATATATACAAATCACATAAATTTTAAATAATTACATAACAGACAAAAATATCCTTCAATTCATGTAGGTCACCATAAATTTAATGAAAAATATGATTTAATATCAATTTGAAGCAACTTTTAATAGTCTTGGACTAAATTGGAGCATTTTAAAACCCGGATTAAATTGGACACTTCTTAATAATCGAGGGACTATTTTGGACTTTTACTCCATTCCTTTTTCTCAAACATGTAGATCCTTATAATATGGTTTTCGATATTACCATTTAATGAAATATCCCTTAACTTACAATTGGAGTCTAATGCCAAAGGGCAATCTAGAGGCATGTTTGCTTATCTATCAAACAACTTTAATCATGAAAGTCATATGTGTAGGTGAAATCAATCAAACGTTGTGGTATATTTGTCATGTTGATGTTATTAAGTGCCATTTGTGCTATAGCATGTTACTGAAAATTTTACTGGGTAAATATGATGCTTACAAATTAATGATACAAAATTATTTTGTTATAGATACCATTTGGATCTTTGCAAGAATGTGTTTGGTGAAGGTATTTACCCTGACGTGGATATGACTAATATATACTATGGTGGTACAAGAATCGCTGGTATGAACCTTTCTTATATAGCTGGCCACTTATGTTATTATTAATCTTTGGCTAATATTTGGATCTATTGCCTGCTAATGCAAATCGATTACATATCAAGACGAAAATTATCCTTCAAGCATTTGCATTTAATCGTTTGGTTATTTGTTGATGTCCTTAGTTAATATTAAATGTTTTACAAAATTGTTTTCGATGTTTTATGATAACAAATCGAGCTCCTAGGCTTTTCCATTATAAAGTTTGCTTTAGGGGGTGTTTGGTAGTGCCCTTTTAACAGACGTTATGACCGGATTTACTAAATCCAGCCAAACATTAAAAGTGCAAGTTCCATGGATTTATGAAATTTTGGATTTAAGGTCCGAATTTTGTCTTCTATTCATGTGAAACCGAATTTAATAAATCCAGCAAGGTGGTGGATTTAATAAATCCAGATTTACTAAATCCTATTAACGCTAAATCCTTCTTGTAGCCAAACACCCCGTTAAGTTAATCTGGAAAAAAAAATTATATATATAAGATGCTATTGAATGTGTATTTCTATGAAAAAGTCATAAATCCAATTCGTTTGGTGTGTCATTGCTGAGGATCATAATGTTGTTTGTGTATTTTTATTGAAAAACTTGTTACTCTAGCAGATTTTTTTTTGACATGTTGGGTATGCTTGTGATTTTTCAATGCAATTCAGTATTAGTTAATGAATTATGCTATGTTTTAGAAGATATTGTTTGGTAATTTTCATCTCTCTTTCCTTTCTTCTAACTTGATTTAGATTTAATAGTAGTAAAATTTTAGGTTAATATCAAGGCGGTGTTGACTCAGTTGAATGCGACAACAATGAGGTCAAGCAGACCAAACCTCTCTAGAAATCAATTATGAATGTCCAATTACATGAAATAAATGTTCATTCATTGACCCTTTATTTAAATGGGTCGTCTTGATGCATCCTGAATGCTAGAATGCTCTGAGGACCCGCCTCACCTTGCGCACACACTCATATAGTTGCTTGGTGGTGCCCACACTCAATTCATGTTGTTTTTATGTGATATGGAGGACATTTTTAGATAGATTCTAGATGATTTTGTGTTCAAAATGCTTCCATTAATAGCTCTAAGCACGTATTTATATTGTAATAGGGTCAGATGGCTGATGTTGTACAAAATAGTATCAAAATGTGCAACAACATGCATTCGCACGCATTTCATTGAAACTTTTCATCTATCAACATATGTAATGTTGTAAATAAAGCAACCTCAAGTGAGTCTAGATGGATTTTAGTGAGACTTAGATGCAAAATAAGTCACATTGTAAAGTGTGTCGCATGCTTTTTTGATTTAATCTCCATAGAAATTACTTTGCTTTGAAAAATATCTAAACTTCTCGCTAAAACACCATTTTTTTTCATGAAAAAACTTGTTTTCATTGATCGAAGTTAAGAAATCCATAATGATATACCTACTAATTTCGATAGCATAAAAATTAAAAAATACAAAAAATGAATAATAAGATAACTTTGAAAGTTAAAATATAGTTCTTGAAAAACAAAAACAAAAAATATCTCCTTTAAAAAAGGAAATTACCATTATAGGGAAAAAAATCAAAGAAAATGTAATTTGAAACTTGAAAATTCCAAGATAGTTTTAGTGGCTATGTTTAGTGCTCTAGATCTTCTTAGGACCATTTAGGAGCATGTAAGCTTTTATCTTTCACCCTATACAAATCATGTAAATATTCAAAATCCTATAAAATATGAAAATGTGTATATATGCCGTGGAAAATGCAAGGTTTTTGAAGTTCAATCTTCAACATGTCAAGGGTATAGTTGATTAAACATTCATTCTTACAACTGCTTCTCAGTTAAATTGTCTCGTTTTATAGTGAATTGGGGATCAACAATCCACTTCAAGTTTTCACCAAAAATTTTGCTAATATTTTTGCATAAAATCTTTTAAGGTTTTTTTCTTAAGAAAAAATCATCTAAACAAAAGCTCTCTAGATTGGCTTGCCTTTGGGGCTTTGTCTTAATTCTTCGTCTTTGGGCATCTGTACTATTGATGTTCTAAATCATATTTAAAGGCTTAATCTTTCACATATGAAGGGTAAAGTTGATGGGGTCCATAGCCCATCAACTTTCTAAACCATGATCCTCTACCTTCATTGGGTAGAATTCATTAGGTTAAGTTGATAACTGATACATCTAAAATATATAGCATTTATGTACACATTTTTATACATATTTTTGAGGATATTGTGCTTTAATGGAATGTATTGTGCTTTAAAGGAATGTCTCAATGGAGAGAGGGATTTTTACTTAAAATCGCCTCGGAGCTTCGAATCCCGGGTTACGGCTTCCCTGTTAGCCTCTCGGTTCGCTTGCTTTCAACTTTGCTATAGTACCCGAGCCGCTGATTGCTCGAGGAGGACAATATGGGAGAGGGATTGGGATTTAATACTTAAGGAAAAATCCATCGGATCTTAGCCGTTTGATCTCATCGAATGGATGCTTGTGCATATGTGGGAGTCGGCTATGAACAATGGAGAGACGGGATTTAGGGAGATTAAGGGGTTAATTAAATTAATTATACTTATAAGTTTTGGATTTTATAACTCACAATCCAAATATAATTCATATATAGTGTTTTATATCGAATTGATTGATTTCATGCGTAGAATTTTATAAATTTTTTTTTGATTGAATTTTGAGGATGCAAAATTGGGGGGTACTTTTTCAAATTTGTCTTACTTGATTTTTTAAATGTTGGGCATTAGTGAGATCATATAAAAAACTGATGGATGGAATGTTAAGTGCACAAGGAGGTCCTAGTCAGCAAGGTTTGAAGCCGGTCCTGTCGATAAATCAGGAAAACATTGGATGGATAAAGAAGGATAAAGTCTAGTGACGTGCTATGGTTCAAATCAAGGAGATGTTCAAAACTAACTAGATCTCATGGAAGTTGGTTGTCTTGGAAACAGATCAACATTGGTTCAGACCCTTTCATAGTGAAAGCTAACCAGATATGAATTTTGATAAATCTAATTTCTCACTATTGCCAAGCAATAAATTTATTACAGTTGATTTTTTTCTCTCTGTATTATCCGCAAGAGTACCCATCAGTTATTACATTGCTCTCATGTTTTTGTTGGTTTTCCTGGACTCATTTTATGATCATTTTACCACAATCGAGCTAAATTACTATTGTTTCTCTTAATTCTTGTTACTAATACCTTTATCTGAGAAATCCATTAAATTCTTCTTTCAATTATGTTAATTTCTTTTCAAGCTTTTATGATTAGTGCTTCACTTTTTTATTTCCCTTATTCCTGATTCCGATAGTAATGCATTACGTTTGTATGTACATGCAGGTTCAAAAATTATCTTCACAAATGGCTCACAAGATCCTTGGCGCCATGCATCGAAGCAAACATCATCACCTGAGAAGGATAGTGAGTTTCTTCAAAAATAAATGTATATGTATTTTGAAATATTGCTGCTGAAAGGGGTTATAATTATGTGCTTTCTTGTATGTTTATAGAAGTGCTTTAAATCTTTCTTTATTTTTTAACCTTAACCAGTGAGTTTAGTTTCACAAGTTTCAGCAATTTGGGTGGATTTTACGTCTTGTTTTGCTAGTATTTTTCTGTTTTTTTTTTTAATAGTTGTATCTTCCTACTTTTATTTACTTTAATTTTATCTAAAACGTATTTGAGTTGAACATTATTTCCGTTATTTGTATTTCTGATATAATCATCACATGCATGCATATACGGTAGCTATTCTGCATATGTATATTAAAAGATCAGTTGAAGCAAGAAATATATGGTTGTCTTGGTGGCGCTGCTTTTGTTAAACCCAGAAGGCTGTTTGGTTAAGTTTTGTTAAATTGGACGTCCAAACCTGGCACGTAGTTTCCCTGCACCGCACCTTAGTCTACTAGGACCTGTGCATCCATATTGAGCCTACCGGCAATAATTTACCTATGCTGGTTAGCAACCATGATCTGTGCAAGCTTGCTGTTTATGCTTTAGGCGGAGCCTCCCTCTTTCCACCCATGTCAATGTGGCTCAAAATTGGACTGACATCAATTTTGGCTGCCATTAATTTGATATTTGCCAAAACGGGCCTGTTTTAGCTTTAAAATTCATCTATAGTGTATAAGATACAATTTACGACTTGTAACTAGAAATATCTATGCTCAAAACCATATGACTGCTATGCAGAGGCTTTATTTGTATATATGACGAGGAATGTTACCATATAAATGATTGGATACTTGCATTAGTATTTCATTCAAATATTATAGGGGTCATAAAAGTAGATGTCCTGAGATTATGTTGTTAAGTTATTTGAAAACTGTTATTTATTCTCGATTTAGTGAGGTTGGAAGCACGTCACTAGAAGAAGTGGCCTCAGACAAGCAAATTATGTTTGCTAGAGGGAGCTAGATTGTCTTAACTATAAATAATGGTTTTTTGGTCATTAACTTACCTTTTTGTTCTTTCTATGAACTTCTATCCTTTGAATCCAAATTAGAAATACTCATAATACCTATATTTGGCTTTTCAAATCGTCTTTAAATTCTATTAAAATTATTGTTGTGCTTCATTTCTTGGAAATTTGTTGGCTTTTATTGAATACTATTGTTTCTAAATGTTTCTTAACTTGATCATCAGTGCCTTCCTACATCACCAAGTGCCATAACTGTGGCCATGGTACAGATCTGCGTGGCTGTCCCCAATCTCCTTTGAACATTCAAGGTATGGCATGAATTAGTATGTACCAGCATAATCTCTTATCCAACATTATAAGTAATGTATTTTGGATTTCTTTTCTTATATGATGAATATAACTGTACATGAATGGGTGAAACTCTACTGAGATTCATGCTTTGTAAATTTCTTTAGGCGATGCTGGAAACTGTACATCTCCTGAGGCAGTGAAGAAAGTGAGACAGCAGATTATAGAACATATTGATTTGTGGCTCTCACAATGTGAATATGAAGGTAATGATAAAAAAAGTGAAAAACTGTCATGATAAGAAAAGTTCCTTCAACTAGAGAAGGGATTAACTTAACATAAGGGTTTTTTGTTTTGCATCACGCTTAATTTTCTAACATATTGCTATAAAAATTTAGATTCTTTTGGTTGGAGGAATATGTTCCATTCCTTTCAATTAACTTTACTTATTTGACTTATTTAGAGGTTATTGCAGTTTTTTATCCTGTTAGTTACAACTTACAAATCCTGATTTTAGAAGCCCTTTACATGGCATTAGCTTTAGTTTCATATTGATCTGTTATTGTTCATATGCTCCTGTGGTACTTTATTAGTTGGTTGAGGGTTTTATCAATTTAAAGTTTAAGCATATATGATCAAGGACAGCGCTACCTTTACATTATTTCCCTGTAAATTATATAATGAACAACTATAAATTGTTCTTAATGCAGAAGGCAAGTTCTTGACTGTTTGGTGCTCCCATTTAGGATATATAATAATAATATTATTATTATTACTATTAATAATACTAATAATAATATTATTATTATCATCATCATCATTATTATTATTGTTAATATTATTATTATTCTAGTTTGTAATAACAAAAAAATAATAAGAACCAATAAATAAATAAATAAATAATAAATATATAAACACGTCTCCGATTCATTTTAAGAATCGGGGGAATTCTTATCGACTGTAAACAATTAAGCGAGAGTAAAGACAAAAATGAGGAAATTGAAGCCATACCCTAATCGAGCGGTTTCAACTTAGACTTCGACGCACGAAGGAAGAAAGGGAAGGAGGAAAAAACTCATGCGTGTGGTGAGTCGAGCCTCTCGTGCGTGAATGAGGAATCAAAGTTGAAGAAGGAGAAGAAGAGGAAGGCATCGAAACCAGAGGAGACGGCTTGCGGGAGGAGCTTTGACGCCACCTGTGCAAAGAAGAGTGGGAACCGAGCCTTACTCGTAGCGGTGAGCGAGCAGCCTATGTCCTAACCAATCGAAGGAAGAGGTCTCGAGCAGTTGGCGCAAAGGAGGAGCTCTCGTGGATATTGATGCAGCCATTTTGTGTGTGAAGGAGCCACTGAGATTGAACTGCAAGGGCAGAGCGGGAAGAGGAGGAAGACGGGTGAAACTCTTACGCGTGTGGGGCTAGCCGACCGAAGGTTTATTAAGATAAAGTAGGTTTTACTTGTTTTAATTGAAGAATATATATATATATAACCATTCGAGTACCACCTCCTTAAGGCTAACCGTGACAGAGTAGATTCAAACTCCCGACCTGATGGGTTTTATACCGAGGATGTCAACCAACAGGTCGGAGTTCGCGGCACACACACGATTGCGCGCGTGCATGCTCTCACACATAGATATATATATATATATATATA